CATTTTTCTTGTTGATGTACCCGAAAGTCCGCTGGAAGCTGCTCAGAAGTACAAGAAGGGCCTCTCTGACGACCAGAGAAAGGCTTTGGCTGCATCAATTCAGGTTTATTACTACTGTTGTTCCGCTGTTCAAAGCTGATTTAAATTTTATTCCATTCAAAGAATAGTTTTAAAACTAGTCCACCTATTCAATGAAATTTAAAGTAACCATTTCTTTTAATCGTCAGATTCCAATAATTATCTTATAGTAAAATTTCCTTTGCATCTCATTTTCTTTGCGAATTCATCAAACAAAGGGAAAATTCCGCAAAATCATTTCTCTACAGTATACTATTTGAATAAATGGCATGAACTCTGGAGCCAAAAAAACAAACATTTCTGAAAAAATGCGAATACATTTTCCAGTTAGCTTCCGATGTTTGGTTTCTCATGTTTTCCATTTTAAGATTTTAAGTTATGAGATCTTCCAAAAATTGCTTGTAAAAAATGCTTTCAAAGAAATTTATTGATTTATTTTTTATTCGAACAACGAAAAATACGGTGAATTTTTCAGGAACAAATGCTGTCTAAATATTTGTTCACTTTGAATGAAGTTATCGTTCGGATGGTTAAGGGAGATGTGGCAGTTTTTGAAGTTGAAAAGCTTACATTTGTAGATCGATGAAATGTCCAATAATTTAGCTAGAAAACCTAACATTCCATACTGTTATTTTAGTCCTGTTTTATTTCTAAATTTCCGTTTTTGAAATGAATTTTCGATTTGGTTTAAATTTAAATTTGAATGCGTTGCCACTAATCTGTGTTTGATGTTTGTTGTACTTTGCAAAACTATCTATTTACTTGCTGTGAATATTGTAAATATTGAAGTTGTTACTTCAACTTTTGGAATTTTGTCACTGAATCTCTATGAAAGCAATGCATACTGTAATGTCAACTAAACTTTTTAGCAGTTATCAATTATGATAATTTTTCATGGAATTCTCTAATTCTTAACTTTCACTTTATTCACCTTGTAACAACACTATGAAAACCTTGTTATTACGGTATGCCCCTACATATCCTGTTTTACTTTATCCTTAATAACTTAATGCAAATTTATCTGATCACTTACCCTTCAAAAAAATTGGATGCGAAATGAAATGATGTGGGTGTTTGTTTTGATACACTCGCTAAATCACTGGAAGAAAAATTTTGCTACTTATATTGCTGATGGTAAATATATAGGGGAAAAAAATGTGTTAGGTAAAGATGTTGTATTGATGGATGGATGGATATTTTGCATCCTTAATAGAAGCTATTTCTTTCAAATGTTCTAGCTAGCTAATAGGAAAATCTTTTATATATTTTCTTTTGAAAAATAAAAATAAAAAATGATATGATCCTTTGCTTTATAAGGGATGTAAGACAATTAACTTATCAGTTAAATTTGTTGGTTAATCAATTTCAGGTGGTACTGAAGGGTAACAGGAATAAAATCCAATTCCGCACATATTATCCTGATTTCGACCCAATTTAAGATATCCACCCATTCCCCAATGTTTACTCCAGCTGAAATTTTCTAAAATTATGTAAGAAGGAAAAATATTCATGTAAATATTTACTATAATTTTATTTTTATGCAATTAAATTCTCAAAAAATAGTGAACCTATTTTTGATGAGCCAATAATCCATCCGTTTTTTGGTGCCATTTCGTAATTTCACTTCGTCTGTCCCATAACCAACAGCAAGCACACCGTGATTTACAAATGCTGTACAACTTGGGCTTGATAAAATACCTAAATTATTGCTACCCGTAATGAATGCCCCCATTAAAAATAAATTTGATATCAAAAATTTATCAAGATCAAATTTATTTTCAAATACCAAATTTGATAATTTAACATTTGATTTGATATGTTTTGATTAAAAATAAATTGAAATTTGTTATCTTGCTTTACTTTTTGATCATCAAATAATCCATTCACAAAATATTAACATATCGATATCCAAATATTATGATGAATGAAATAAATGATTTTTTTAAAATGTTTCTGGAAATTTCTTTTTTTTTTTCAAATTAACATTTAATCTCAAATGTAGTTTTAAATTTAATAAATAAAAAATAAAAATGAAAATAATTTAAAAAAATTCAATCAATCTTTTCTACCTCTTTTGTAAAATATTGTCATTGATGCATCAAAAGCAACAGATATTGGTCCAATTATTGCAACGGCTGCTTTTAATTGTAATTCATCACCACTAGGTAACATTTTACCAGCATATGCTGTTGTACCACGGGTATCATTTGAATATCGGCAAATATCTTGATAACCATCATAAGGATATGATTCTTCTCTATCAATTCCATCATTTTTTACAACATATTTAAAAGCCTAAAATTAAGGCTTATTTTTTAAATAATAATTAAATTATCAATTCTAAAAATAATATCTATTTCATATATTTTGAATCTGTTCTACTCAACTTTTTTTTTTTTTTGTACTATTAATTAATTTTTTTCTCTTTCTTTCTTTATTTTCAATCATATAAATAATGTAATTTAATTATTGCATTGAAATAAATGCTGAAAGTGAAGTGTGGTTGGAAAAAAAAAGCAAAAGTTTAATTAAAATATGTAATATAATTAATTAAAATTAAAGTTAATATAATTAAAATTAATATAATAATTAAAATTAATGTAATTAACTGAAAGTTAATTAAAGCATGTAATATAATTGACTAAAATTAAAATTAATATAGTTAAAATTAATATAATTAATTAAAAGTTAATTAAAGT